TGTTTCAGCTCAGAGATGTTGACTGAACACACACACACACACACACACACACTGCTGGGTCCTAAAGCCGGACCCCGAGAGGGTGGAGCTCAGAAAACTACATTACACACCAGAAATCTGAAGGAAGGAAGAAAGAAAGAAAGAAAGAAAGAAAGAAAGAAAGAAAGAAAGAAAGAAAGAAAGAAAGAAAGAAAGAAAGAAAGAAAGAAAGAAAGAAGAAAACGTTTGCATGAAGAAAATGAAGATGTTTTACAATCAATTTTACATCTGTAAGAATTTTGCATCCATCCAGACATTTTAGTTTAGTATTTTATAATACGTATTCGTAATTAGTGATTTTCATTACTCTAATACAGTTTTTAACAATAAATTAAAGGCAGTACAACAAATACAGGGATGTATAAATACGTCATTTGGTAGTTAATGTTAATTTAAACAATATATTATTTTTATTTTAGTAAAGAAAATTAGTTTTGTGGTGTTTTTTGTCTTATAGAAATAAGAATTATAGGATTTAGCATTTAATTTTTAATTTTCTTCATTTTATTATTCTCTCTTTTAATTTTTGGTGTGAAATACGAGCATAAAATATGATATTTTTACAGGTTTCTAATGCAGTGGTCAAAAGTGATGGGGATGTTTGCTTATAATGAGACCGGCAGTTTGATTAAACCATCAAAATATGAAAAAAATATTTTATATTTTTAAATATTTTATAAATTTGGTAAAGTTATTTATCTGACAAAATTACTTGATTACTTTTTTCAACAGCTTTTATTTTACTGACAGGAAAAAGCACACATTGACTACAACATAATCAGTTATTAATATTTGGCTGGTTATCTCTTGTTTGTGCATGTGTTCATGCATCATTTCTTTGTATGGACAAAAATAATGTCACAATTTGGCATGGTTCATGTGTTATGATCACACATAAAACAACTGACTCCATCAAGCACAACAGCACATTATGATCCCTGTACTGTACACTTCTGGATATTCAGCACATTGCGCAAACATTGCTCTTTCTTTGTTGTTTTCAGAAGCATAAAAGCCCTTCAGACTCAGTTCTGTTGCTGATTTTATGACAACATTTGGATCATTTACACTCATAAAGTATACGAGCCTCTGACTGAGACGCCGTGACGTTGTACAGTGTGTTTTGTTCGCGGTTGGGACACGTGTGTGTGTGTGTGTGTGTGTGTGTGTGTGTGTTTTCATTCAGAGGGAACTGTTTGTCCTCGCTCTGTGCTGAAGTACATCTGTGAAGTGTGGCTTCCGGCCAACAGCCCTCACGCTTCATGCTATAGCCCATACGTACAGGAATGTGTAGATATAAACCAACGCCGTAGTGAAACTGAGGGTTTTCTGGAGAGGGTTTTTTCACCTAATTGATTTCTTGAGCAATTTGCTTAATTCTTTGTCCTGAAGAAATGGTTTATTATTCAAAGGGTTTCATTCAAATGTTTTAACCTAGGAAGCCTTCCAGCCATTGTTGAAGCATTTCGTGGAAATTATTACTGCTTTAGTTATAAAGGAGTTTTACTCAACAACATGCTTTTGATCCAAAGCAACCAGGTATTGCAGATTTTAGTAACCCAGTTGTAGAGGATTAAAATTACAACCCAGTTACAGAAGAATATTTCTTTTCTAAAGTGACCACATTAATCCATAAAAAGTAGAAACTATGAAAAAAGTAGAAAATATGACTTAAAAGTAAAAATTCTGACATACTAAGTCAAAGTACTCAAAAAAAAAACTAAATTATGACATGAAAAGTGGAAATTATGACTTAAAATTCAAAATTATGACATACTCAGTCAAAGTACTCACAAAAAAAAACTAAATTATGACATGAAAAGTGGAAATTATGACTTAAAAGTCAAAATTATGATATACTAAGTCAAAGTACTCACAGAAAAAACTAAATTATGACATGAAAAGTGGAAATTATGACTTAAAAGTCAAAATTATGATATACTAAGTCAAAGTACTCACAGAAAAAACTAAATTATGACATGAAAAGTGGAAATTATGACTTAAAAGTCAATTATGACTAAGTCAAAGAACTCACAAAAAAACTAAATTATGACATGAAAAGTGGAAATTATGACTTAAAAGTCAAAATTATGATATACTAAGTCAAAGTACTCACAAAAAAAAACTAAATTATGACATGAAAAGTGGAAATTATGACTTAAAAGTCAAAATTATGACATACTAAGTCAAAGTACTCACAAAAAAAAACTAAATTATGACATGAAAAGTGGAAATTATGACTTAAAAGTCAAAATTATGACGTACTAAGTCAAAGTACTTAAAAAAAAAAAAAAAATTATGACATACAAAGTGGAAATTATGAATTAAAAAGACTGATGACAGTCAAAGTTATGACATAAAAAACAAAATTATGAAATACAAAGTCAAAATTATGATACTAAATTGATAATATGGCTTAAAATGTCAAAATAATGACTTTAAAAGTCAACGTCTTGACACCAAGTCATAATTATAAGATGAAGTCGAAATTATGAAACACTGAGTAAAAATTGTGGCTTAAAAAGTCATGATATAAAAAAGTCAAAATTATGACTTAGTCGAAATGATGACATACTAAGTCGAAATTATGACTTAGAAATTTTTGAAATGATGACATACTAAGTCCAAACTATGACGCTAATTCAATATTATGATTAAAAAAACTCAAATATGACATACTAAGTCAAAACTATGAGTTAAAAAGGTAAAAATTGTGACTTGAAAAGTCGAAACGATGACTTAAAGTTGAATTTATGACTTAAAAATGTGTAATTATGACATACTAAGTTGCGATTATGACTTAAAAAACTAAAATATGACATAAAAAGTGAAAATTATGACTTAAAAAGACTGATGACAGTCAAAGTTATGACATAAAAACAAAATTATGAAATACAAAGTCAAAATGATGACGCTAAATCGAAATTATGGCTTAAAATGTCAAAATAATGACTTAAAAAGTCAACGTCTTGACACTAAGTCATAATTATAAGATGAAAAGTCGAAATTATGACACATTGAGTAAATATTGTGGCTTAAAAAGTCATGATTTAAAAAAGTCAAAATTATGACTTAGTCATACTAAGTCGAAATTATGACGCTAATTCAATATTATGATTAAAAAGACTAAAATATGACATACTGCATCAAAATTATGAGTTAAAAAGGTAAAAATTGTGACTTGAAAAGTTGAAACGATGACTTAAAGCTGAATTTATGACTTAAAAATGTGTAATTATGACATACTAAGTTGCAATTATGACTTAAAAAACTAAAATATGACATAAAAAGTCAAAATTGACTTAAAAAGCTAAAATATGAAAAGTCAAAATCATGACTTAAAAGTCGAAATTATGACAAAAAGTCGAGATGCAGACTAAGTTGGAATTTTGCCTTAGAAAGTCAACATTTTTACACTTATGAGATGAAAAGTCAGAATTATGACACACGATTTTTCAACATTTAAAAATTTTAACTAAGGCCAAATCCTGGATTAATCTTAACGCTGTGAAAATGCTTTAAATCATGACATCATAATTTCAACTTTAATCTGATAATTATGACTTTTTGTCATAAATTTGACTTGTTTGTTTCCTTTCAATAGGCCAAAAGTTGTTAAGAATCTCATTTACTCAAACAACGACAAATAAACACATGCCTTTACATTTGAAGCTTGTTTATAAGGTGACTCGGATGTATATACAGTGATAATACGTGCTAATATTGCATCATTCCTCAGGAAAGACAGGGTTTCTCATTCACCAAGCGTCTTCGAGACTCATTCGACTCCACAGAGGTCAGAGCTCCAGCAGTTGTCGTCGAGCAGTTTTGCTGAGGTGTGAAGAATCACAGGCGTTTCTAAATGCACCACATGCCTTTAGAGCAGATGAAACCTGTGTTTATGTTTGGACCCATTTCCATCCTATAGTCTAACACCAAGTGAACACAGAAAAGTCTCCTGACAGACATTTCGAGGCCTGTTGACGTTTTCAGTATTCATGCAGTGATTCGAATGTATTATGCAAAAGGATTCGAGGGTTTATCCTCTAGGAAAACACCCTTCACTGGCAAACAGAAGGGGGCTGGAATGTGCCTGTCCGTGTGGGACGGCCTTAGTCCAGAGCCAGACCTTCATTCCCAACTTTAACCCTTCCTTCACTCCCCCGACTGGAGCCAAGCTTCATTAGCTCAAAAACCAAGGAAAAACACAGTCTTAATCAAATAAAAACTGGACACACTTTCCAGTGAAGAGTTTCTAAGTTTGTTTGCTCTTTCTAATGCACCAAAGTGTGATAACTTGGTTAGTTTCAGCAGTTACATGTGAACAACCCCCAACCGATTCAGACCATTTGCTGCTTTTAGTTTGGTTCTTTTAAAGAGGGTTATTGTGTGAAGTTTCCGTAGACTTTTTAAATCAAGATTTTTTTGGTAAAATAGGGAAAGTGTAAGTACTCAGCTAACAAAAATACATTTCTATTAAGTTATGAAAACATTCATTCTAAAAAAAAAAAAAAAAAAAATGTCTTAAAAGTATTTTTTTCTTGGTTAGTTATATTAAGTGAATTCCATTGTATCATTTAAACATTATAATTGTTACTTTTAAATGTTCTCCGAACGTTCTAAAACAAGTCGTTGCATTTAAAAAAAAATGTTGTGAGGATGTTATTAAAGACCACGAACGTTCTATTAACTTGGAAAAAACATTTGTTCGTTACTTTGAGAGAACATTATCCAAAGTTCTGAGAATGCATTTCATCATCGTAAACACATTTATATTGTTTTTAAAAAAAATAGCTATATAAGGTCATGAAGTCGCATGAATAAAAACAGTAGAAAATGAATAATTAAACAGAAAAAACAGTTGAAACGTGACAGCATAAGTTGGAAGTGTCCGTGTTTATTCAGTGAAGTCAGTCATTGACTTCACTATTTCACAATACAAACTGCTGTTTCGATTCGAGATGCAAATCATCATATCGTTCAGTTCAGTCACACCACTTGCAAATGAGCAGGACGTGAGATTCGCCACTACATGTCCTGAGAGAGGACAATAGGTGAAGTGAGAAGTGAACTATCCCCTCCTCCACTGGAGACAATAGACGAGCTGCAGATTCTCATTTCTCCGTGTTACCAGGCGAACTTGGGACGCGAAAGACGTGACGTTAGCGCTGATTGGCTGTAAAGTCCGAGGGGGCGTGGCCAGCGGGTATATAAGGAGGCGCTGAACGGGTTGCGTCAGTGTTTTGCAGAGACTCTGCAGATACTAACAGCTGCTGCACTTAATCCGGTTCACACAGGTCTTTGTTAGTTGTTAGTCTTTGTTACGGACTATTTTTTATGAAGGAACGTACACACAATTCATCGCATTTGAGGATATACAGCACAGATTATCGGTGAGTTATGTTTAACAGGGCTGTTTTTATTGTCTTACCTGGTGTTCATTCAAAACCGTGAAGTACAATGAGAGAGCAACAATGCACATAGTCCTGTTTCTGTTTGCTCCAATGTTATCATCAGCCGTGCAAAATTAAAAGCATGGTTTATTTTAGTTATGTAAAGACACTCTAGTTTGGTTGACTTGTTTACCAGTTGGTTTTGTGTCTCGCGCATGCATAATAAAAACCAACCTTTTCTTCTACAGACTCTTAATAATGCAGCTGATTTCCAACCTTACATCTGAAGACTCAAGTCTCACATCCACCCCAACATCTGACGCTCCATCCAAGCGCTTGTCCTGGAGCAAACTAATGCAGAAACTGCACAGCATCCAAAGCATGGACTCCGATTCAGACACGCACAGCAGCTTAGACGATGCATCAGATGCTGGTAAATATTAGAACCGGATCTAATGCACTTTTCCCAACTCTCATGCAAGATCTTGATTTTAATGCATGCATTTGTCTAACGCAGGTTCCCTATCCATACCAGATCTGTCAGAATCCGAGATGTTTTTCGACCCCGCTGAAGAGGCATTGTGCAAAGAAGTGGTGCAACTCATCGCACTTAACCTGACCGATGCCAAAGATGGTGTCCTGCACTGTTCCAAACTCCTTATTCCAGAGAAACTTCTGGAGCACATCGGACACGAGCTGGTGCATCTGTCCGTCAGCGAGCCCTGTGGTCTGCGAGGTGCCCTCATCGATCTGTGTGTGGAGCAGGACAGCGTATACGAGGCTGCGGGACAGATCGCGGTCGACCCGTATCTGGTGCCCACGTTCCAGCTGACCCTAGTGCTGAGGCTCGACTCCAGGGGCCTGTGGCCGAAGATCCAGGGGCTTTTCACCGGCAGATCCCCGTCGTCTCCGGTTGTTCGACGTGCACTTAAACTGAGCACTGGATTTCGAGTTATTAAAAGAAAACTGTACAGCTCAGAAGAGCTTTTGATTGAAGAATGCTGAGACCGACTCCATACATGTCATGGACTTTTACTAGGTTTTTTTAAAATTAAGCCTCTTGTAACCATTCAGTCTCAGTGCCCATAAAGAGCCCTGAAGGTACAATCGTGTTGTATGACTGTTTAACGCAGTAAATGACCAACTCGCAGGGCATTTGTAATGCTGATTTCTAGGGTACATTAAAAAGACTTTGTGATACTTTGTTTGTTACTGATGTTGCACTTTTGCTGCCGTTCCAGTGACGCAGGAGTTTCGGGAACATCTACCTCAGGTTTATGGAAACCAGATATGGCAGCTATTTTCCATGCAAAACATTGTTTTTCGTCTATGCCAGTTTGTTCAAAGATGTGTGAATGCAGTTATTGTGCCCTTAGATCAAATGGAAGGTCTTTTAACTAGTTTTTTTTTTATTATTATTATTTTTTTTAATGGTCATATGCATATTCCATGCATCTTATTTATTTGATATTCAAATGCAACATGTTGGGTTTTTTGTACTTTGAAAGAAATGCAAAAAATAAATCTTTTTGAAGAATTAATGTCTTTGGTTTTCTTGAATGCTTTTGGAAAATATATGCAACCCAAACATATCCTCCTGGGACCCAAGAATAGACTTTTGTCCACTGTAGTGGACATTATATTTTAGTGAATTTCTCTGACATCATACATGTCACATGACACAACCTGGGTGTCCTGTAAAGAGCACATTCAGGACTTTTCAGAGATACCAAATGTTTGGAGGTTTCACCGTGAAAACAACTTCTCCTTGGTCTTTAAAAATGTCTGACATCAATTTAGTGATCAAATGTAGCATAATAATATATTGTAATAATTTAAATTGGACTACTTCAAATCGTATTTCATAAAACATGTCAGGAAAATGTTAAGGGGTTTCAAATAAAAAAATTACTTTGTTACAGAACAGGGCATTGATTTCAAACGTGTCCACTGTAGAGGACATCAGGACTAACATGTTTATCAGGCATTCTGGGAGACACAAGTGAATGTGGAAATTATACATCAATATTCCTATGAAATATTAGATATTATTATTAAAATGTTGCCA